AATAGCTAGTGAAATGGAAGTAGCAGCTGCATCAGGGAATAGTCAAAGATTGTTCCGACTGATACGCAATACGGGAGGTCGGCGAACTTCAGTTAGTGAAACAGTCTGTGATAAGAGGGGACAAGCTATTCACAATAGGGATCAACGACTCGATCGCTGGGCAGAATACTTCAACGAACAGTTCAGCTGGCCTAGTGCTAACCAGGCTGCTTCATCTCCAACTGAAGCTCCGTGGGTAGTGTCATGCGATCCTTCAAAGGAAGCGGAAGTTCGGTCTTGCATTCAAGCTCTAAAGCGAGGCAAGGCAGCAGGACCAGATGAGCTCCCTCCCACTCGTAAGCTGCATTACTACCTTACTGCGCAACATTTGGACGCAAGAGTGCATTCCTTCATCTTTGGGCGAATCACTGATCGTTTCCACTTTCAAGAAAGGATGTCGCAACGACTGTGAAAACCACCGCGGGATCAGTTTGATCCCGGTGGTCACCAAAGTGCTAGCTTCGGTTATACTTCGACGTCTGACGCCTTTAAGAGAGACCAACATCCGTGAACAGCAAGCCGGATTCCGACCTGGCCGTGGGTGTATTGATCAAATTTTTACGTTGCATCATGCCCTTGAGCTGCGTCACACCCACCGTTGCCCAAGATCACAACATCTCTTGGCCTGATAGGAGCCTTCAGCTCATTTGATCGTGAAGCTCTGATGGGTTCGCTTCTTCAAAAAGGAATGCCCCATGAGTACGGTAACTTACTGAGGTCATTGTACTCACATACCTCGGGTCGAGTAAGGGTCTATTTTAACTAAGTAGGCGGTTCGCCACCAGCAGTGGCGTTTGTCCAGTGTGGCCTCTTTCATCAGTCAGCTTCAGTTTTACAACCATTAACCATGCACTTTCGTGCGCGGGTTTTGGTTGCCCATTTGGATAAAATAGCGAAATGAAGATTGGAATGTCGAAGCAAATTCAAGCGGAAGATGTGTAATACATATAGAGTGAGATGTCATCGTAGGAGGATGCACTAAGTGATCTCCAGAACGTAGGTATTGAATGGACAGCTTGAGAAAAGCTGTGCGATTTGCAGTACGCCGATGAGATCATCTGTCTTTTCGAATGTATGCAGGACGGGCAAAACGCACTTGATAGACCAACAAGTGTGGTTGCCACATTCGGTATGCGCTTGGCACATTCGAATTGCAAAGCCATGCTGCAAGACTGGGTGTCGCCTCCTCCCACTGAAACTGAATGGCCAGGAAATAATTACAGTGTATTACTTTCCCTACTAAGGTAGTTGCGTGACCAATGACGGTAGCTCAGCAAAAATGTTAGCCGCTCGCATTCCCAGGGCTCAAGCAGCGTACAAAGAACTGAACCATCTATGGCGAAGATGCGAGTTTTCACTAAAGATGAAAGAGCATGTATATTTTGCTAGCGTTTCTTCAGTTCTGCTCTATGGTTGTGATACCTTGGATTTGCGAGTGGAAGTTATCCATCGACTCGAAGTTTTCAGTTTTCAGTTACTAATCTCGAAAAATGCCGTCGTGTGTTTGGAAGTTTATCAGATATAAACCCGCTCGTACACTGAGTTCAGATTAGTTGACTTCGCTGACTAGGGCAGTTATTGCGAATGACCAGCTACCGTCTACTGCATCGCGCCTTATTCGCTGTGGCCGCTCTGGGCGGGAGGAAACCACGTAGAGGTCAATAGATGACGTGAAGGCGAGGCATGAAGAAATGCACAGCCATTAGGTAGATTAGGTGTCACGCGCCTTCCAGGTTGAAGTCCCTGACTTTTGGACTCCTAGGCGTGTTAGATTGTGTATTGCTTCGAATCTCTTTTTACTTAAGACTTACTTGGTCTTGGGTGGGTGTCTAGGGTTGAGTCTGGTCATCCTATGCACCTCGCGAAATGTTCCCATACGGCCAAGCATCTCTAATAACCTCTGCTGAGGAAGCCCTACTCACTGCTTTCTCGTAGCGGAGGTGTTTCCCCACCAAAGTGAGCGGACGAAAACCCGACATCCGGGGCTATAACCGGGTTGGGGGACCACTGGTAGTTTACCTAGGGGAGTTGACTAACAATCCTGATTCCGTTTCAGTCAAGAGGAGACGCATGAACCACCCACACCCTCCTCGGTGTGGCAGTAGTCACCGGCTCGATTGGGCATCGAGGTGTATTGGGCACCTTGGACGTTTCGTTCCGTCCGAAAGGCGTATGATCCGATGAACTAGACACCGGTTACCAATGGGTTGCGGTTTTCACACACCGCCCCGTTGCCTTGTGGGTCAGGCTTTGATTATCCAAAGGCTCTGGTTGTGGATTCCCCAAGAAAATTCACTTACTTTGGTCTGGACAAATTGGCAGTATTCCGCCCACTTGCAAATTGTGGCGTGTTTTTCTTTTAATAAAGATTGTTATACCACGATTTGTTTGGCGCACAGTCTGGTGTTAGATGTAATATATATATATATATATATATATATATATAAACATGATCACAGTTTTATGGTGGCCTAATGAAACCTCGAAAAATAATTTGTTATCTGTGATTGGGCTTGGAAGTTGTTCAACGCGGAACATTAACTGACTGTCCAATCTCTCTGTGTTATAGCTTATTTGTGCATCAGCTATAAACTGTAAGTTTGTTGCTTCTGTATGTTGTTTTTCTCAGATTCAGTTAGCACGAGGGTATCCGCGACAAGGTGTACTGCACATCGCACCGGTGTTTGTCAAGTGGGCTTCAATTCCCTATTCATGTTCAATTTCATCGTAGACGAAATATTGGAGCACGCTTCTTAAATGTTGGCACATAATGCAAAATTACAGAAAAGCCACTCAATTTCGCCCATGCTGAAAACGTCGTAGGTCTGTGCGAATTTATGGAGTAAAACACATTAGTAAACTGGAAGTTTTTGACAATCAGTGCTTATGTAGTTCGGTACTGGTAGAATGGAGCAAGCGGGTAGGTTATTTCGAGGTGAGCCGCTATGTGTTTAGGAGTGATTTGGTGAAAAGTTCGTTATCACCGAATTCGAATGAGTAGATTTCGCTGGTTAGGATTCCTAACTGTCTTCCACCGCACCGCAGATTGGTTTCATTTCCGGTTGCAGGGTAAAGAAAATAAAGTGGATGTCAACGGAAGATGTGCAAATGAGACATGAAGATATGTACAGAGAGATTAGGTAGATTAGGTGTTTCCTGTCTTATAGGCTTAGTTTAAAACACTGCGACTAGTAGTTTGGAAACACTGAGGGACGTAGCGGCGTACCGACAGCGGTGTTCTTGTTGTTCCTAAATGTCACACCAAAATGCTCGAAGCGGTTTGTATGCATAGTTAGATTGTATACTCTGTGTTGACCATATTGGTTCACTTCCGCTTCCCGTCTCTCAAAACCGCCCATTCACCATCTACCCTGCGCATTGATTCTTAGTTTATGTATATTATCAATCTGACAACGATCGTCGAAGCTCGCTTCGTTGTATTATGCTGTATACTGATGATGATGCTTTTCACCGTGTCGCTATTGCAAACACTCACCACGGAAAGGTAATTGATAGAACATCATCATCAAGTGATGAAAGAGATGCACATCGCAAGCACACTTCTTCGGGATGAGAGCAAGATCTAGCTCAACGAAGGAACTGGGATCCGTCATCTATCACCAATGTATTTCGATAGCTTACACCCCCCTCCAGTGATAAGCCGATTAGTGTCAATCAGCCACCTGCACGAATCTGTGTGTCAGTATTTCAAATTTGTCCTGTGTGATGATGCGACTGGCTATACAACAAAATGTCTAAATTTTAAAAGCAAAACCCATTTTGAACATCACACCTACTGGGAAGCGTCCCAATACTATAGCATTTTCACTTTCTCTTCAGGTCAATATATTGTCAGAAGTTAATCTAACCTGTACTCGTTCTCAAGATCTGAATGAACCTATAGTGCTGTTGAAAAACACGGCTGGTGATTTTTGCAATTTTGCAGTCTTTGTTCACAATTACAATGATTTTATTGTTAATACTTAAGTTAACACCACTTTACTCATAACTGTCCCCCTTTGATTTCCGGCGAGCATATGAATCCTGATGTTTTTTCCTTTTTTCCATTTTGTGCACAAAATATCAATCTACCAAAGGTTCCCGAGAAAGTTTTAGATGCTCCAGATATTTTGGATGACTTCTATCTGAACATCCTGGATTGGTCCGTGGACAATATTTTGGCTATCGCTTTGAATCAAGAAGTATACCTGTGGAATGCATCCACAGGGGATATTACTTGTCTCATGTCAGCTGGATTGGAGGGCGAGTATGTGAGTAGCATCTCATGGTCCCCCGAAGTACCGCACGTGTTAGCAGTGGGTCTGAGTGCCGGTCGAGTGCAGCTGTGGAATGCTTCAACCCAGTCGCTTTTGCGCACGATGCGTCTCGGGGATGTCAGCGCGGGTGGTCGAGTTCCTGTTGTCGCTTGGCGTGAGCATGTGGTCACAAGCGGATCACGCTCCGGACATATTCGGCAACACGACACTCGTGTGGCAAGACATGAGGTTGGTGTCAGCGATTTCCATACGCAGGTTAGTATCTTTTCTCGAAAAAACAAAGATCCATTAGCATCCTTCAAACTTAAACATGATCATGATACTAACTGTGGCATGATGCTTTTGTATTCATTATATCAAGACTGAAACAACGTAGTTAAATGTCGCGAAGGGTCAACACTTCGTTTAATCTCCTCAACCGCTGACGTAAAACAAACAGGCACATATATAACACACTGGGCTGGTAAATCCCAATGAACGCACGTGTATGGATAACCAGGGGCTGTCGAAATTAGAAGAGATCAACTCCGCGGATTGCATCAGTTTGGGCGCACCGTTCCATCAAAAACGTAAGCATCGAAGCTTACACAAGTTATAAAAATACCAATACCCTTACACAGTAGGTCATTAGACCGTGACATCTATCAAATGCACATTGACCTCTGTTTGCCGTGTGATAAAAATCGCGTCAGTTGAATTGGCATTATGATCATTTTCAATCCGATGACGTTCGTTGCTAAGTTCGGTCTGTGAATCTTACTTCACTGTCGCCAGCTTTTTGGAAGAGAATAGGCTAGTCTCGTGAACGGTCCTCAAAATCAGTGGGGACTTGTACAAGCATCACGTCTGCGCGGCTCTCATTAGACTAGATTATGTGCAACGACCGGTTGAATTTAATTTCCAATGGGCCAGTGTCTTCTAGTAGTTACAAACTGTGCATCAAACTGTTTCTGCCGCCTAGTGGTAGGCAGCGAAATATCTTGGGTTCAAACCTACTCGGCAGTTTTGTGATGGATGGGAACCAAAACGGTCCAGCACTACTTGGTATCGCTTTTCTGTGCGCGTGTATCGACGTGTCGTTCACTTACCCATACATTCAGTCACTCATATCACCACAGCTTAAAAAGCCAGAGAAACCCTT